CTTGATCTTTGACAAAACCCTACCTGTAAGTAAAAAAACAAAAAAAAAAAAAAAAATTCAAACGTTGACCTTTTTTCCTTCTCTCTCTCTCTCACTCTGTACTTCTCTTTCTACCACAAAACTAAATTAAAAAAAAAAAAAAAAAGGAAAGAAATAATGATGATGATGATGATTTAAAAGGTCGATTAATCGATCGTAACGTTTTATTCACGATTTAAAAAAAAAAAAAAAAAAAGAAATTTAAATTTTTTTTATTAATTTTCAAGTTGAAGACGATTTTCCGGTAAAGAAAAAAAAAAGAAAATTTGTTTTGGAAAATTTTTAAATTTTTATTGCCCCCGAAACGTCGAAACGTTTTTTTTTTAGTTCGAGTTCCGGAAAAAAAAAATCGGCGTAACATGAAATTCTTGATTTTATAGTTTTTTCTCTCTCTCTCTCTCTCTCTTTTTCCCTCTCTTTCTCTCTCTTCACTAATTCCTTAATTAATATGAAAAAAAAAATTTTTTTATTTGGGCGGCTCATAATCTGTATATTAATTAATTAATTAATAAAAAAAATGAGAGATTTATCTCCGATACGCACGCACATACAGTGTGCGTTTATGACGACGCATTCAATTCCTTCTTTGATGGGTGTTTGACTCTTCGTTTGAGGGAAAAATCAAGTTGGCAGCATTGAAATTTTTTTTTTTATTTTTTATTTTGATTTGAGAGAGGGGGAAAAAACTGTCGTGAATTTTTTTTTTCTTATTTTTTCCTTGTTTTGTATTTAATTTTCAATAATTGGGAAAAATTATTATTACAATGGTTATAATTATAATTATTTAAAAAGAAAATGGCGCCAAATTTCAAAGAAAAAAAAACGGTTTAAAAACGTCATTTCCTCCTTTCTCGTTGACGGTTGATATTTTAGGGTTGTTTGTTGTTGTTTGTCGTTTTCATTCTCTATGACTTTTTAACGTGGAAAATAATTTATAATAGGATTGGCAACACCGCAATTAATGTAAAAGTTTTGTTGTAACGTATTTTTACGCTAACGAAATTGTTTTTAAAAAAAATTTATGTTTATTTTTATTTTATTTTTATTATATTTAATGTTGGAGGGTGGGAGGAGGAGGGAGAGGAGGAGGGGGTGAAAGAGGAATAGGAGGAGATAGGGAAATTTAAAAAAAAAAAAAAAATGTGAAACGTGACGTAAAAAAAGAGAGAGAGAAAAAGAAAGAAAGAAAGGAGGAATTACGGAAGAATATAATTAACCGCCATTTTCTTTTTTTTTTTTTTTGTCATTCACTTTCTTAATGTTATTACGAATATTACAAGTTTTAAAAAAAGTTTGTTTGTTGTTTTATAATTCCGCAAATTAAACAAACAGTTTTTTTTTTTTACGACAATTAAAAAAAACAAAAAACATTAAAATTCTTCGTGTACCACCGACGGGTAACAAGAAATATTCGATTCGATATATCGAAAACCGAAAAAAAAAAGGTAGCGGTTATTTAAAATTTGGTTGTTGTTGTTGTTGTTGTTGTCGTCGTCGTCGTCGTCGTCGTCGTACCTTATAATAAGTGAAAATAATTACTGTTATCTTGGTTCCGTGATTTTACCTTCCCATTTTCCTTCCTTCCTTCCTTCCTCTTATCGTTTATCATAATTTTTATTTTTTGTAAATTTCATAGTCGACGATGATTTTCCAAACCTGAAATTAACCGTTTTTATTTTTCATTAAGTAAATAAAAAAAAAAAAAAACCGTTTGAAACATGTCCGACGCACACACGCGAACCGCGTCATTCGCTTTCGTTTGTAAAGAAAAAGGCCGGGAGAGAAGTGAGAGTGAGAGAGAGTGAGAGAGAGAGAGAGAATCTATTTAATAAAATTTAATAATGAAGCGACGGAGGCCGCGGCGGTGGCGATGGTGGTGGTGGTGGTGATGGTGGCGGTGGCAATTGAGAGTGGCACACTTCTTTCAAGTGCATAATGATTGCTGAACCACGCGTGCCACACATCATAATCTCGTTTAAATCATTGATATTACATTTAGTAATACCATCATCATCATCATCATCATCATCATCATCATCATCATCATCATCATCATCATCATCATCATCATTATTATTATGATTGCTCGCGTTGTCGGTCTCATGCGTCACGAAAAGAATGAAAAGAGAAGCGGCGGTTGAGAAGAGGGATTCAAATGTTGGGCATATCATTCGAACCCACATTCATTCATTCATTCATTTATTACGTCATAAATTTAATTTACCTTTTGTGTGCGTGTGTGTGCGTCTTTATTCCTCTCACGAATGGGATGAATCTTTATTTCCGCGGATGCTGCGAATCCAATACTGCGGGATCAAATGGGATATTCGTCCTTTGATCCCGATTCCATTAATTTTAAAAAAAGGAAGAAAAAATGGTACAGATTTGATCTCGCGAGTGTGTTTGTTTGTCAAATTTTTTTTTTTTTTTTGGTTGTTGCTCGACACAAAGTAATAATTTTCTTTTCGCTTGGATTTATCTATTATTATTATTATCATTATTATTATTATTATTACTACTGGAAAAAAAGATTTTTTTTTCGTTTGTTCCGGTAGAAGAACACACGCGGATTAAATTTTGTTCAGCCTCGTTAATTTTCAAGATTTTTATTTATTGTTTAAATATTTTAAAAAATTCTCGTTTTTCATTTCCCTCCCTCCCTTCTCCCCTTCCTACATTCTTCCCTCCTTCTTTTCTCCTCCCACGTTCGTTTCCCTTTTCTTCTCCTGGAACCGTTCTTTTTTTGTAATTCCTTGACACGAATGAGATTATTCGCGAATTGTTTGCTTGTTTGTTTGAATTGATTATCCCGTTTTTTCCGTTATTATTATTATTATTATTATTAAATCATAATCGCGTTTAAAATTAGTTGAATTGAGTAAAGGGTGAGATTTGTAGGGGGTGCATATGTTTAATTCCGGAATAAATGGAACGAACGAGAGAGCGTGAAATGTGGGCAATAAAGGGATGAGATAAAATAGGGGATGATAACAATATATATATATATATGTACGACGTGAATGATTATTTAATGAGCGTTTGTCTTTTTGGTATTTCATCCCTTCTTCGCCACTCGTCTTTTTTTTTTTTTCCTTTCACCCCTTTTTCTCCGCCTATTTATTCATTCTCCTTTTTTTTTTCTTTTGCCCACACGTTTTAATGAATATCTACCCTCATGTAGTGATGGCGACCCATCATCACACGCAGGGAAATTTTTTTTTTTTTAATGGCTGGCAAAAAAAAAAGAATCGGATGAATCGAAACGTTATAAACATTTATTACAGTTATTCACCCACATCGAAAACGACAACAACAACAACAACAACAAACAATAACAATAACAAACGCTAAAATTTCTGGAATCTGGAAATTTGGGTCACTGGTTTGTTCGACCTAAATTTTTATTTTATTCGAAATGAATCGAGCTTGTAGAAATAATTAGCTCTCAATTGAAATAATAATAATAATACTAATAATAATAATACTAATAATAATAATGATAATTTGTAAAAGCTAGTTAAAAATGGCATTAAAACAATATTGAATTGGTTGTCTCTCTCTCCCCTCTCTTCCCCCTCTCTCCTCTTTTCTCTTTTCGTTTCTACTCTTCTTCCGCAGTTTTTGTTTTCCCATGGTTTTTGTTTTTTCGATTTCGTCCTCCTTCTCCTCCTCCTCCTCTGTTTCGGTACATTTCCTCTCTCTCTTTTTTTTTTTAATTTGCTAATCATTATCATCATTATCATCATTATCATGATTGTCATCATTATCATTCTTCTCGTTTGTTCGTCGCCGATTCTTTTTCTCTCTCGTGACCGATTTCCGCCTCGCTTGGAAAATTTCCGTTTTTTTTTTTTTTTTTTTTTGGCGCAAAAAAAAGAAAGAAAGACAAACATAAAAGTTTCTATTGTTTTCTATTACCCCCTCCCCCTTCCCTCCTCCCCTCCTCCTTCGTTTTAAAATTTTTCTTTTTAAAACTTTAACGGGGAGGCGGAGGAGAAGGTGGGGGGCGTTTTGCGGAAGTTGAAAAATGTCAAAATATTTATTTATTTATTTATTTATTTTTTTTTTGAATAAAAATGAATTTAAAATGATATGATAAATATTTATTAATCGACTATTATTATTATTATCGTTTTTATTAATTATAATAATAATAATATTATCGATGACTAATCGATCGATTTTGATCATCATCGATTCGTAATTTTTTCTCTCGGTATACGATGGATAAATAAAAAAAAAAAAAAAAAAACCGTTATTGCAGTGTATTTTTTTTTTTTTTTTTTTTAAACATATGAACTCTTTCATACTTTATTAAATACCTTTTGGCGTTGTGATCATCATTATTATTATCATCATCATTATCATCATCGAAAAAAAGGTACGGGAAAAGTTTATCGAATTTATTTTATTTTCGTTACCTCTTTTGTTTGCGTGTATTAAAGTTCTTTTTGCCAATAATAAATCAACGAAAGAATGCGAATGCATTTTATTAATAATGATGATGATGATGATGATGGGGATAATAGAAGTGGAGGGGGGAGAGGGCGGAAAAAAACAGGTTCGAGGCACACGTTTACTGCATCGAATTCAAATCGATCGATCGATGGAACCCTCGCTCTCTTAATTTTTTTTTTTATAAATTAGCTTCCGTAATAAATTGTTTTAAATTCATAAACGTAATAATGATAATGATAATAATAATAATAATAATGGAATTGGTCGTGTGTTTAGAAAAAAAAAAAAAATGATTCATTCAATATACCAACATTTGCCAACAGGTTCAATAACGTACCAATTAAAGTTCGATGACCTCAAATCGTACACAATTTTTTTTTTTTTTGGTACCACGATCATGTGCACGCATGTGCGTGTGCGCGTGCGCGATTCTTTTTTCCCTTTTTTGTGGTTTTTCTTCCTACGGGAATTAATCCGTTGCTTTTTTTTTTTTTTGTTCACAGAAATCGCCAAAGTCCGAGCGAGTTTATTTCAAATAAATGGCACGAAAAAGGATCCTCTCATACTGCCGGAGGGTGAAGGCCCACCTACGACGCTCACGGAAAAAGTATTCGTTCCGGTAAAGGATCATCCAGATGTAAGTTTATGAGTTTTTTTTTTTTTTCTTTTGGAAAATTAAGTGCCGTGGGGAGGGGAGGGGGTCGAAAGCCACGGAGGTAATGTAAGTAGGGTAGAGGAATGTGATACGATGATGATGTTGGAAGGATATCGAGAATGCAAATCGCGGTGAACAAAGGGGAAAGGGTGGGTTTTTTTTAGCATATAATTTGATCCGTCTGCTGCCCCGTCAAAAAAAAATTTATAAAGTAGGTTAAAATCGTGTGATTGTCGGAGTTTTTTCGAAAATGCGAGGAGTTTTTATTATTGACACGATTTTATTTAGAGCATATCAACAACGGAGAGACGGAATGATACGGTCGACAGACGACGAAATCGATTTTTGTTTTTGTTTTATTACTCTATGAAATTGTTAGGAAACGGACTAAAATTGAGAAACGATCGATATATCGATTGTTTGAGCATTGACTAAGAATTTTTTTTTTTTTTGTTTATCGTTACGAATGTCATTGTTTTTTTTTTTTTTTTAATTTATTCTTGTTCGATATTTTGCTGTCGCGAATCGATTAATCGATCGATCGATCGATCGCGTCCATCTTTTTTTTTTTAACGTTTGATTAATGATTTTTAAAAGAAGGAAGTTGAGACAAGAATTTGTTTAGAAAAATGACGTTTTTCCTCCCACGTTTGGATATATTCGAAGGACACGCATAGTTCTTTCGAGAACATTCTTTTAAAACAACTCGAGAGAAAGAGTGGTGACGAAAAAAAAACAAAACAAAAATCACGAAAAAATCATTGATTGTTTTAAGCTGGGGGAAGGGAGGGGAGTCGTCATCATCATTGTTTCAACAACAACAACAACAACAACTAACAAAATTTTATTGTTTGTCTTTATTTTTTTTTCTTCGGTCACATGATGGTCGATTGTCATCATGGAGTCATCCTCGAGTAACAACCATTTATAATAATGGACGTTTATAAAAATTTTTTTGTCAAACTCGTTTTTGTTGTTTGTTTGTTTGTTCGTTTGCGAAATTTTCAACTTTTTTTGTTTTTTTCATTTCTTTCGTTTGTTATTTCGAGTCGTGGGGGGGGAGGGAAGCAATCTGTTGGTTGCCGTGCATTCAACAGGTTTCTTGGACAAATTATTCAAAGTGCGAAAGAAATCTCAACGGCCCTTGTCTCCGAGCCAACTAGTAAAAGAAAGAAATAGAAAGAAAGAAAGAAAGAGAGAGAGAGAGAGAGAGAGAGAGAGAGAGAGAGAGAGAAAATTCAGCATAATTTAGGAGTGGCAATAATGCAAGCGCGCACGCACGCACGCACACACACACCATAATGACGAAACGATATATTTCTGGAAAAGTAGAAGTTGAAGGGTGTGTGTGCGAGTGCGTGTGCGCGTGCGCGTTGTTGATTTCATTCGTTGTATATGTTTGGCCGTGATATCATAATTCGCCTCTGAATTTTTTTTTTTAAAACTCTTTCTTTAAAAAAAAAAAAAAAAAAAAAAAAAAATGCAGTTAAAAAGAAAAAAAAAATTTAACGAATTAACTATAACACTATTTTTACTAGTCGGAAAGTTCTTACAATAGATGTGACCTCATTCTTTAATGACTCACATGCAGACACACGCACACACGCACATGTGTGTGCAGTAGTAGTAGGAGAGTGCATGCACGACGACGACGACCATCTGGAATGAATGCCAATTACGAAAGGTTTTCTTCCTTCATACTAATCGTTACGAGGAAAGGGGGAAAAGGAAAGAACGAGGAGAAAAGGTTGTTGTGTCGTGTGTTTGTTATGCGTTGGTGGATTTCATCCGGATTTAGCGAGAGAGAGAGAGGGGGGAAGGGAGTTGAGCGTTTGTTTCCACGGAATCGTATTGGATCGAAAGTTAATTTTTTTTTTTTTTTTTTTTTTTTTTTTTTTTTTTATGGTTAGATAATCGAACCTTGGCAAAAGAACAAAACAAAAAAAAACTCATCCGCATTTTGTTTGTTTGTTTGTTGTTGTTGTTGTTGTTTTGAATTTGTTTGTTGGACGTCGCGTTCGGTGTATGGAAAAAATTATTCACTCCAAAGCACGGCACAAAATGACGGTTGAGAAGGAATAAAAAAAAATGATTGTTAAAATTCATAAGGCGAACACGATGGAGCGGGGAAGAAGGACACAGGAAACGTCGATTTCCATCCAAGGGTTTTGATAGTTGGTGCCACGTACCTAAAATCCATAACGGTCGTACTCTTGGTTCATTGTTGTGGTTGTTGTTGTTGCGAGCTTTGATTTTTTTTTTTTTTTTTTTTTTTAATCGTTTTTAATTTATTTAATTAATAGTTTGGTTGTGCGTCTTTTTTCTTTCTGAACAAAAATTTATTATCCGTATTATTCGTTATTAAAATTTTTTAATTTTATTACTCTATGAGATTTTAATCTATTCATGATTACGTAAAAGTTTGCCGGGATTTTTTTTTTACCATCAATCCCGTAGTTCGAGGATTTTTCGTTTTCAAGGT